GTGGGTAAGAACACTATGAATAAATGATCCTACAAGTAAGTGTTTGCATACTTAATGCCCCTTGTACTACTTGACTGAAACAGGATTTAAACTTGGCCGAGCACAATTTCTATACTCTACATGTTTTATTTTCCCTTATAATGCCAACGCCTTATACTATAGACAATTAATTGATTTTGAATGAATTAATAAACAAAGAAGTAAACATGGCTTTTAGGAAGACTCCAGAAAGCAAGGAGGGCGTTGGGGAGGTGGGGGGGGGGGGGGGGGGGGGGTCTTCTTCCATCTGGAAATTTCCTGAAGCTTCTGAGGTAAGGTGAGATTGTCTTCAAATAGAGAACACTAAAGCAAGAGCAGGGGGCCTAATTTCACAGGACCTGCTCAGCCTGCCCTATAGACATCATCCAATCCCAAGGAGAATAGACCCTGACCGGTTTACGGAGAGCCTTGGGTCTACCAGCCCAAAACAGTTACTGCAAGCTTCTAAGAAAAGGCTCAGCCAAGCTAGCACTTACTGTGCCAGCCCTCCTGAGGCCTGACTTCCAATTCACTGATATATCTAAGCAGGATAATTTGATTTGCAGTGTTTGTCACTCTGTGCTCCCAGCAGAACAGATCTGAGCTCCAAGCCTACTTTGACGATATTGGATGCCTGGGTCGGAATTGTGCAGCACAAAAACAAAGAAAACAGCCACCCCATGCCCACTGAGAGGCCGGAGGTCTTCCAGTATGGAGAAACTTGATTTCTGGAAATCTGAACTTCGATCTCAGCAGCGTAATCAACAATGTGCCATGTGAAAAGCAAACTGTTTAACCACTTCAGTGCTGTTTTTCTGGAAATGAGGCCTGACCATACTTACCACAGGCAGTAACTAACGTTATGTGAGGAAAGCAGAGCGTCAGGAGAGAGACATTCTGGGAAAAAAAAACGTTAACTTCTAGTTCAGATTTACCTGAGTTCAGTTGATTAAATCTCCTCATCCCTCCAGTTCTCATCCAGAAGGCCTTCAGAGTACAATTTTAGTTGAAAAAAGGTCTGTATCAGAAGTAGAAAACAGAGAAGGTTGACCCTACCTCTGCAAACTGGGAAGAATCCCTATAAAGCAGAGAGTAGGTAAGACATTCTGAGGGAAGGGCAGACAGATTCACTGAAGAGTCTCTCCCTGGAAAAGCAATGAGAAGAGGCTGGCCCCAGGGGAGTCCAGAGGCTGAGGTGGGGCGAGTTTCTGTGGGAGGTTCACCGAATGCTGCAGACTCCATGGGGGAGACACGGAAAGCAGCTATCATCCAGCTGAGGGACGTGGGCAGCCGACCAGGGCCATAGGTGGTGCTGGTGAAGACGGAGTCCCAGTAAGGAAAACAGCCCTGTATCCACCACCTTCCTGACACTCAACCACTGCCGGCAGAGTAACATGCCTCCTTCTCTGTCTGCTCCGAGACTTTGCTCTCTGCCCACTCACCGCGGAGATCTCGATTCCCGATCTGGCAAAGAAGCATCACAAACATTCTGACTTCTTCCTTTCTTCTTCATCTGAGGCTAAAAGAGTTTAACAGAAATCAACTCATTACTGGACAAGCATGGAAATAACCCCCCACACCACCATCACCCGGGCTGAGAAGGTTTGCTGGACAGGACCCAGTGTCCTATAATTTGAAGAAAGGAATTTCTTGAAGGCATCAAAGCATTTTTCCCTGTGAGACATTTCCTGAAAGAAACAGGAGAAAATCTTGGAAAATCTCTCATCTGTATTCTCAGTGGGGCTTGGCAGGACTTTGTGTGCCCACATCTCCAACACCACCAGCTCTAGGGGCTTCTCGTCTTTTCCTGAATCATAAACACCCCACGACCCCATCACCTCCCTGATAGCACACTATATTAGGACCATATTGGGGACATAGGTGCCTCATCCCCCACCCTGGCCCCCGACTGTATCAGCTCTCAGCCTCACGGTGGCAGTGAGACCTTCTGCTAACAGACGTCTAAGTCATCTAGTTTCTTACGTTGGTCCCCAAGTTGCTCTAAAGTTTTAAAACGTAGGTCCTCCAAGTTCAAACCACCTATTTATGCTCTACGACCTACCTGCTAGCTGCTGAAAGGGGAACATCATTCTGGTACATCAAAGGCTTCCCCTGCTGTGTCTGCTCCCGACAACTGTCCATCTATCTCAAAGGAGAGAATTCTCTTACAAAAACCACTCCCTCACTCCACTCAGACTAACCTTTTTCATAATAGTTTTCACTCTTGATACTTTCTCAATGCCGTTCATATCTAGACTGCTAGAGAGATGAATCATCCAGAAGAAGGTGACCCTTCTGGTTACAAAAAGACCGGAGAAAAATCTGGAACCTGGCACTGATCAGAGACTGTTCTCATCAGGGGAGATGAAGTAAGCATGCTGGAGGTGGGGTATTGACCACCTGTGCCCTTCAAAGTAGCAGAGGTCATCAAGCCTGTGGTCCCCCCATTCTAGTTGTGCAGCCAGCCCCCTGGCACTGCCACTAACGCTATTCCCCCTACTCCCACCATCTGCATTCACTCCCGACCTCTGCCCAGGGCCCCAGGAACCCATCTGTAAATCTGCAATGGAGGACCTAAATATCAGTATTACAAAGTGCAGGACTGAGGGACATGTGAGCTCCAGCCTGGACTTCTGGAAAGGATAGGGCTGGAGGAGAAACCATGAGAAACTGCCCCGGCCCTGGAACCCAGCAAAGCAGGTGTAGGTTTCTACCTGGCAGCCCCAGGGAACCCCAGTGATGCTTGGGGAGAATAGGGGCTCAGAGAATGGAGCTGACTCAGTACGCTTCCCAGCTCCCTCCCCTCCTTCAGGCTAGAGGCTTCCCTACACCGTCACCTTATTTTGTTTTGGCAAATCTAATCCATTTCTTTTCATTGAAATATTTTACTGCCCTATATGAAAGTACCACCTTTTATGTAGCCATTTCTCCAACTGACCGAAAAAAGCAATATGCACAATACATAGAGAGTAGAGTACATATCAGATTGCTGTCCACACACACAAATTACTATTTGTTTGCTATGGGTATATGTGTGTGTGTATGTCTGTGTGTAATTGGAAAGATAATGTAATCAAAATGATATTTGCCTTCTGGGAGAAGGAGTTGATCAAGACAGAGAGTAGTAGCAAAGGGGCTTTGAGCTTTATCTGAATTGTTACAATTTTGTAATTAAGTAATCTCTACACCCAATGTGGGGCTGGAACTCGTGACTCTGAGATCAAGAGTCACGTGCTCCACTGAGTGAGCCAGTCAGCTGCCCCTGAATTGTTATAGTATTTTTTTTTTTTTTTAAAGAGAGAGAGCAGGGGAGGGGAGCAGAAGGAGAGACAGAGTCTTAAACAGGCTCCAAACTCATCATGGAGCCTGACGTCGGACTCAGTCCCACCACCCTGGGATCATGACCTAGGCCCAAATCAAGAGTGGGACAGAAGCTCAACCAACTGAGCCCCCAGGCACCTCTATAGATCTTAAAGAATTAATCATCTGTCACTGCATAACTTAAAGTTAATTTAATGTAAGAAAAAGTGCTACTGTGATGCCTCAGATATTTAGAGTGTATTAAGGTTCTCCACAGAAAACACAGCCAATGGGTAGAGAGAGAGAGAGACTTATTTTAAGAAAGTTGCTCACGTGATTGTGGGACTGGCAAGTCTTAAATCCATAAATGAGCCAGAAGGCTGGAAACTCAGGCCTGATTTCTATGTTTCTCAAGGAATTCTTCGAGAAATCCTTCTTTGGGAAACTTCAGTTTTTTGCTCTCAAGGCTTTCAACTTATTGGATGAATCCCACCCATATTATGGAGGGTTATTCCGCTGTATTTACACTGAAGTTGAATGTAGATGTTAGTCATATCGACAAAATACCTTCACAGCAACATTTTACATTACTCTTTGACCAAACAATTGGTCATTGTAGCCTACCCAAGTTGACCCATGAAATTTTACCATCACAATGGGTATCTTCAGGCTCTTCTTAGCTTCACCAAGTAAGAGCTGCACTTCAGATTCCAGTATTCGTATGCATTCTTACCAGCATTCTGCCCAGACCCTTTGAGCTTATGTCTCTTGGCTTTTGACTTCAAGCTTGCCTCTGGATCCCCTTGGCCCCATGCTTTCCACCCATGGCCTTGCTCTGCTTTATTCTTGTGTCCAGGCTGCCCCAGTGCCCTGGGCCTCTGCTTATTCTGGGCCATGGATTTTAAACAGATGGAAAGCTTCACTTGAAGAAATCATGGAAAATTCCTTGCAAAAGACTTGGCATTTTAAATGAGTAGCATTCCTCATTTTTCTGTTATTTACTATTTATACATTACTCAGTGGAACTTTAATATTACTGTATTATAAAATTCTGTCAAATGAAAAAGAATAAGATAACCCATAATCACACTACCCTAAAATAACCCATCTTAGCATTTTAGTATACTTCAGTCTTTCTTCACATGTAGAATTTTGCAGTTGTAATCATACCCAATATATAATTGTATCATGTTTTTCAACTTACCATTATAGTATAAGCATTTTTAATGTCACTACATAATCTTCCTGGTCCTCATTGTTAATAGTTACATAATCGTTCACTGAATTGAAGTGTTTCATTTACTTCTCTTGTTATCTTTGAACAATTAGCAATTTATTCTTACAATAAATATCCACATCTTTTCTATCATAGTATTTTTTTTTCCCACACCTTGAATTCTTTCACGTAGACTTAAACAATCGCTTGGCCAAAGAATATATATACATTTTGTTGTCTCCTGATGTATATTTCCGAATAGATTTCTTAAGGTTTCATCAATTTCCACTGCTATCATTGTAAATAAGGACCACTGCGTCTCTGTTCTCTTGAGGGTAGAGCTTTGACAGGTGAGGATTCAACACCAAGAGGAAGACATTCCAGGAACAAAGCCTGAGATTTGCATTCTGTAAAGTACCCTGGTCCTCACTAGTACACTGGTTTTGTGTTGCTTTGTTTCTCACAGACTGAACAGTTGATAACTCTGTGGGTCCTGTTTGTTTTCACCATTGTTGGAAACTCCATGGTGCTGTTCTCTACGTGGAGGAGGAAGAAGAAGTCAAGAATGACCTTTTTTGTGACTCAGCTGGCTATCACAGGTAAGTAACTGTGCGGGTGGGAGAGAATAAGCTGTTTCCAAATTCCTATGGCTCCTTCCTTTCAATTCTTTTACCAATAGAAATGGCATACTATCGAGTCCAAAAGGCATTGGCAAATTTGAGACTGATTTCTATAGGGATAAAAAAACCCACGTGTGAATTTTTCTTTCAGAAAGTTTTAACACATCTGTACATCCACAAGACTCCATTATAAAAATAATTCACTCTACAACACACTTGAAAATACCATTATTAGTGCCACCAAGGGGTTCTCTAGGGTTCCACCCTTCCTCTACACAGCAGCCTCCATAGTTCACTAAGGTGATAATACAATATCATACCATATTATGAGCTTAAGGAATGTATCCTAGGGGCACCTAGGTGGCTCAGTTGGTTAAGCATCTGAGTCTTGATTTCAGCTCATATCATGATCCCAGGGTCATGGGATCCAGCCCTGTGTCAGGCTCCACACTGAGCATGGAACCTGCTTACGATTCTCTCTCTCTCTCTCTCTCTCTCTCTCTGTCTCCTCTCCCCCACTCTCTCTCTCCCTCTCTGTCTAAAACAAGAGAAAAAAGAGAATATATCCCAGAAAATGGACCAGAATCATCTGTATTCAATAATAAATGTGAAGTCTCAAGTACTTTGCAGATTTATGTCTGTGGACATTGCTTTGGAAATATAAGTTATATGTAACACCACTGGTGGGCACAGTATAAGGACAGAAGATAATATCTGGGATCGGGATGTTTAAATATGGATTTGGGAAATGGCCAGTATAGTTGAAGTGTGAATGCATCACACTTAAAGGGTAAATGGTGAAATATTCTCAAGTTTAAAAATGATCTGTGAAATAAAGACTCCCACAGAGATGGGTAGAGCCCAAATTGGTAGGGGTCATGCTCGAAAGGAAAACATAATCAAGGAGAGAGTCCTATTCTACAGGCCAAAGAAGAGAGTGGACAGATGGGATTCCTAGAAGGTCCAGCCTAAGACAGGCTTGGACTCCTGAGCTCTGGGAACAAGATGGTCTGTGATATGACTTTAATTTGAATCAGACTATAGGGAAAATGCAAAAAAAAAAAAAAAAATTAAGTGCTAACAAGAAGCAATGGTAGATGACCATCAGAATGGGCTGTCTGGTACATTTCAACCTATGCTATACTCTCCATTGCAGCACTGGCTGTGGGGTTTAGTCTTGAGCCACAATACGGGAAAAATATGGCACCATAACTTAGAGGAGAAACTTAGCTAAACGTTGTTGATAGCCTGACATTCTCCCATATCTTCCTAAAAAAAGTATAGCAAGCCCATCTGCTTAAGCTGGGCTACAGAGACCGGGATGAAAAACAAAGGCACTACTGAGAAATACAGACATGGGGAGAGAAGGTTGTGTCACAGAGGTGATGCTTATGATGGAAGAAAACTCCTTCAATCTTTCCTACAAACAGGAGCCACACTTTTCACTCCTGACTATAGGAATAAAGGATAATCAGGATCATCCAGCAAAAGCTGAAATGCAAAATCCCTGGATGAGGATGTAATAACTTACTTTCATTAAATTTCCTTAATTACTGTGTTGTAACCCACATTCTACAGAGATGTGTGTTTTTTTAGAATGTAAGAACTTAGAGGCGGCAAGGATATCAGCTTGGAATTTAAAGTGTTACAAAAATAATCAACAAATGAATCATTGAAATATCACCATCTATTGTTAAGGAGAAAAGTTGTGTATTCTAGTCTAATCTATAGTCTGCTGTATAACCTGGGCTTAATTTCTCATGAATATTCATGTCTGTTGTTTATTTGTTAATTCTTTCTGGAAAAACTCAAGGGGTCAGATCAGGGCCCTTTTAAGTGAAGAGTTCTCAGAGAGGAAATTTTGCCAAGGTTCTGAAAGTTTAGAAACTGAAAAATGTAAAATAACCGAAGCTAAAAATACGATAGATGGGTGTAGCAGCAAATTAGATGTAACTGCAGAGAAAATTATTAAACTAGAATATAGGTCAGAACATAATGATTGAAGCATGAAAAAACAAAAGGATGGACAATTCAGACAGAAGGTAAGAAACATATGGGCTCAGTGAAAAGGATTTCCACAAAAGGGTAAGACAGAATGGACAGAAATAATATCTCAAGATATAATGACCAACAGTTTCCCCAAAACCCTGAAAGACATCAAAACTCAGATGCATAAAGCACCATAAAGGTCAACCGATCAGAAAACAATCAAATAAATATAAAGAGAATTGAAACACATGAAAATGATGAGTTTAAGTAAAATTCCCATATTGAATTTGAATTGAGAAAGTATGTGTGTCAACTCATGGTTTATCTCATGTTTTAAAAGAATCCTTATCTTTTAAAGGGTACATACTGAAATGTTTGCAAGTAAATTGATAACACATCTTAGATTTGCCTCAAAATAATTTGAGGGCATGGTTAGGTAGGGATATAAAGGACAAAACTGATTTTTGTTGGTGCTTGGTGGTGAGTATATTGGATTCTTTGAACTTCTCATACTATTCTCCTTACTTTTACATACATTAGAAAAGTTTAAAAAAAAAATTTTTTTTTTAACATTTTATTTATTTTTGAGACAGAGAGAGACAGAGCATGAACGGGGGAGGGGCAGAGAGAGATGGAGACACAGAATCGGAAGCAGGCTCCAGGCTCTGAGCCATCAGCCCAGAGCCTGACGCGGGGCTTGAACTCACGGACCGCAAGATCGTGACCTGAGCCGGAGTCGGACGCTCAACCGACTGAGCCACCCAGGCGCCCCAGAAAAGTTTTAATAATACAGAATTTAAAACAAAGAATAGTGAAAAAAATATACGTGATAACAATGAAACAAAATAAAGGGATTTGGGGAGTTAAAGAACTTTAAGTTCCTTGAATTGTTTTGGATGTAGTAAAAGCATTAATTTGTGTCAGATATTAAGAAGTCAAGGGGTATACTGAAACCTATAGGGTAATCCCCAAATTATAAATATGCATAATACTAGCAGTTGAAAACATGTAAAGTGAAATATTTAAAATATACACATACATATAGATGTACATATTTGTATATAATATGCATGTATTCTATATAATTAATCTAAAAGAAATTGAGAGAAAAATATTAGAATTATTAGAATAGGTAGGGCAAATAAGCTGATACATGTCACCTCAAATATATTGGTAATTGCATTTAGTGTAAAATAAGATGGTCAGAGTAGATTTAAGACATACCTACTTTATAGGGCGCCTGGGTGGCTCAGTTGGTGAAGCGTCCAACTTCAGCTCAGGTCATGATCTCACGGTTTTTGAGTTCGAGCCCCACATCGGGCTCTGTGCTGACACCTCAGAGCCTGGAGCCTGCTTCGGATTCTGTATCTCCCTCTCGCTCTGCCTCTCCCCCGCTTGTGCTCTGTGTCTCTCTCTCAAGAATAAATAAACATTAAAAATAGTTTTAAAAAAGACATACCTACTTTATTTAATCTGCTTATAAGAGATGTATACCTTAAAAATAATGATACAGAAAAAAATAAAATTAGAAGGAAAGTAAAAGAATGAAAAATAATAAAACGAGGACGCACAAACCAAAAGATAGCTTATGAAGCTATATTTATATGTCGGAAATCCGGATATTCACTGTGCTTCTCATAGCTCGGGTGCCCACATCTTTGTCTCAGCACTTGCTTTAGGGGAACAGAGTGAGGACAAGAGGACTCTAGCTCTATTAATGTTCTTTTTGGTGATGCTGACTGTAGTCACACAGGTGTGTACCTTTGTGATAATTCACCAAGTTATATAATTATTTGTGCACTTTACGTAGTTTATATCAGTAAATGTTTTATTTAAAAAGCACAGCTCCTCAATATAGAGCAGGAGTTGCAGTCTCAAATGCCTTCAGAAGCAAATGTTTGAAAGAGCCCAACGAAGGGACAGGCAAAGATGGACACCCAGGGGAACTGGAGAATGGATGCCCCACCCACAGGCATTCAAACTCAATTCTTGTCAAATGGGATACTAATCAAACAAACCACTCGGGCAGGCCAGATTTGTCCTAAGGGCCGCTGGTTTACAACTGCTGTTATATAAAATCTTAAAATCAGAATTTGAAAAGCTTGCACCATCATAAAATTCTAGCCCAGCCCATAGTATGAATCCCATTTTCAATATGTGAAGGGAACATCAAGCTTTTTGCGTGGGGTTGGGGAGAGTGAAAGCAAGATGGGGAGCTTAACATTTATAACGGTTTAGATAAGTCACATGTTTGTCAAAGTTTTAAAATGCATTCTCTTGGGGTACCTGGGTGGCTCAGTTGTTTAAGCATCTGATTTTGGCTCAGGTCAGGATATCACGGTTCGTGAGTTCAAGCCCCGCATCGCACTCTGTGCTGACAGCTCAGAACCTGGAGCCTGCTGAGGATTCTGTGTCTCCCTCTCTGCCCCTCTGCTCCCCTGCTTGCTCCCTCTCTCTCTCGAAAATAAATCAACATTTAAAAAAACTCTTTCAATAAAATAAAATAAAATGTAGTCTCTTGAAAATAGATGCTATGTTAGGGCTTTTATTATAACTTGAAAATTATAAACCATTATATGGAACTACTGAAACCAAAACATTGAATCATTATATGCCTCATGAATAATAATAATGCAAATGAAAATATAGAGGAACTTTCTCAATGAAATCAAGCCTAATCCATATAACCCAGTGTACGTGATTATCAGATGACCAGTAAGATTAAGGAGAAAAGTCAAAATCAGCACACATTCGTATCTGCCTATCACTAAGATTTTTCCTTCAGAGGAACGTGTACCAGGCTTCTCTATATGAGGAAACATCAGACAAGACACTGGCCCTGTCAGGGTGGTATTAAAGCAAAGGCTGCTAGGTTAACCTCCGCATGAATGACTTGTTCTCACATGAAGATGCTGCTATTATTAGTGTGTCCCTGTGAGGCCAAGACATTTGCATAATGATAATCACGTAAAGGAAAGGAAAGGAATGAT